CCTGAAAAGAGTCTTGGAACTACAAATACTAGAAAAACTTAATAAAAGTACTTAAAAGCAATTAAAAACATAGAAAAGGTATTTCAAAACGATCCATAAAAGTGGTCAAATTACGGTGTTATCAACTCCCCCAGACTTATACCTTTGTTTGTCCTCAAACAAAGCAAAAGCCTAAACTGGTTAAGTGAAATAAAAAATAGGGAATGCACAAATCTCATAGACATGAACTCCTAAACTAGGACCAAAGATAGTGCATTAATCCACAACTTAGTCTAGAAAATTCTCATAAATGCACAAGAGATACTAGTCCACTTTTTCCGTCATGCAAAACTTAAACAATCTAAATTTTGATTCCAGTCAACTAGCTCTCTACATTCATTAATTTCAATAGTGAGTTCTCATTAAAGACATCATCCAGGGTAGACGGCGTTTAGCATTAAAGGGCTGTTAAGTGGTGGAGTTAAAGTGTTTCGGGTTACCTGAAGATCTAGAGGATGTAAGATAATATGCAAAACCGCAAGAGAGATAAGGACCTGTTGATGACCGCAATTTTCAGTCACTTCTTCTTGCCAAATGTTGTTGCATAATCATTCCTCCTTTGTTGTAAACAGCTATTCCCCCAGACTTAGATTCTTTCCGGGAATCAGAAAATGATCTCCAAAACTCCATAAAATCAAACTCCAGTTGTCTTGGGACTTAAAATTCGACCTCTCTAGACTCTCTAAGGCTTTTATTTCCTTTCTTTTCTTATTTTCGGATTTTTTTTTTATTTATAGGAAATGCCTTTTAAAGAGAGAGAGACTAGAGGACGAGATTGTACTATAATTTGAGATTTTTCTAAGGCAAACTGAGCTTTCTCTTGTGTTGGATCCTTCTGGGAACTCTTCCGGCAAATCGCAGGTCTCTGTCCTTGGTGACTGAAAACTGCGTCGTTCCTCTTTCTCTCCAACGTTTTTGCACTTATCTGCATATAAGACAATAGAAAACAAGAGTGCATGTGGTTTGAAAGAGGACTGGTTAAGGTGGGGAACTAGCTAAAGATGAACTAGCCATTCAGGATCAACAGAGAGTGGTAAAATGATAAAGGAGTCCTGAATGTATGATTCGTTTCCCTGGTCTAAAGCTTTAATGAGAAAATTAAGTCCAAATTAAGTCCAAATAAAACAGAGCTAGTGTATCCCTTCATCTAAATCGAAATCATTCAAATTCCTCTAGGGTACTTCGTTTCAAATGTGCTTAGCTACCGCCTAGTCTAGTCCTAAATCATGAATGAGCATGTCACTAGGAACAGTCTAAAGCACACAGTCAACTATCATTGATTCATGTTCAACATTCCCTTTAAAACGTATTTTGTTTTGAAAACCGATTTTGAAAAACTTTAAGGAAAATGCAAAAAGTGTAGATAATGCAAGACTCATGAAAGAAAAGTGGTTAGAAAGGGATGAAATCCTCCCCCAGACTTAAATTACACTGTCCTCAGTGTGAAACAAGTCGAGATTGGATGAGAAAAATGCAGATAATCGAATTGGTAAGGCCAAAGAGGACTTACCTGGATCCGGGATGCTGGTGGAGATGAACCAGATTCATTCGAAGAGGTTTGGGAAGGTGATTGGTGGTGATGAAGGTGGTGGAGGGTGATGAATGAGGTGGAGTGGGGATTGGTGAGGTGAAATGAGGTGAAGTGGGTGGTTTGGGGTCGGGTTTGATCTCAACGACCATTTGCCGCAGTCAGGAGTCACGCGACTGCGGTAAACAGGTGCTTGGCCGCGGTCAGAAACACGCGACCGCGGTCGAAGAGGCGTTTCCCGCGGTCAGAACGTCTGCGATCGCGGGGGCTTATTTCGTGGCCTCTTCCTGCTTCTTCTTGGTTCCTGCTGGGCCGAGCAGTCAGAGACCATCCTTCTTTTTGGTTTTTCGGGTTTTTGATTTTTTTGGCTTTTTTGTTTTATAAGAAACACCTGAAACTAAGAAAAATAAAAAGATCAATAGAAAAAGAAAGAAAAATCCTAAAGAAAACAATACCTAAATGGGTTGCCTCCCATTAAGCGCTTTTGTTTTAAGTCGTTTAGCTCGACTTTTGGTGTTGGACGTGGCTTATTCCAATGAAGAAGACCTTGTACTGAGACAAGTCTTTTTCGACATCTCCTTGCTTTGCCTAGCAGGTTCTTCGTCACTCCAAAGTTCTTCTTCAAACTATTCTGTTGCAGAACGTTTTCTCTGGAGATTGGTGCTCCTAATTCCACCATTTTGTCTGGATTGCCTCCTTCTATGAACAGACGATAGTCTTCATCTTCGAGGTATTGCCCTTCATATTCATCCTCATATGCTAAAACTATGTTGCAAGGAAATACCTCATTTTCTTCTTGAGATGTTTTGGAGCTGATAGCATACACCGTTTGGTCATGAAGAGGGGTTTTGACCATCCCAGCAGATGTATAAAATGAGCACTGACCTGTAAGAATAGAAAGGGGCTGAAACGTATCTGACGGAGCAATTGACGCGGGTGGAGGCTGCACGACCGCGGGTGGGGAGTGTTTTGCCGCGGTCAGGAGGCTCACGACCGCGGCTGGAGGGTTGTTGGCCGCAGTGGCGAGAGTTCCGACCGCGGGAGAGAGACTCCGAGTTGTTTCCTTGGTTTCGTATCCTCCTTTGCCATCTAAACTGATTTCTGGGTCTTCTAACTCTGTTTCTTCTTCTTTTAGGTCAAGATCTTTGATTGGAAGTGTCGAACCATTTGCTTCACGTCTTTTCATAAGCTTTTCGACCTTCTCTTCGACTTCATCAAGAGCATAGACTACTTTGTCCACGGTTGAGTCGATTTCCTCTGCTTTGTCTTGAACCTTGTGTACTCCATCCCAAATCTCTTCCACGTAGGAGTAGGTTTGGTTGTTATGGTCGTTAATAGTTTCTTCTGCTTCATCAAGCTTGACCTCTAAGGTGCGGATGTTCCCACTGGCTTTGCGAATGCGAACTTCGTTTTCTCCAACTCGTCCTTCGACTGATTCTATCCTCTCCTTGATAGTCTCAGCATCCTTGTTTGCTTGAGTCTTGATGGTTTTAACTTGAGCAGAAAGATCTTCAAACTTTTTGTTAGAGTGAGTTGACATGTTGTCAATTTTCTCGCGAAGGGCGGCTCTCGATGTTGCTTGAGCGTCGATTAAGTGCATGACCACTATCTCTAGTTGACTGCATCGGTGAATGAGTTGGACGTTTTCATCTTGGTGAGGTAGACGACGAGCAGGATGTCTAGGGTTAGCCATTGGAGGTACGTAGGGCTCGTTCTTGAACGTTCTGTAGTCTTCGGTTCGAATTTCTTCGTAGAGATCGTGTAAGTACTGCTTCTCTCTGCGTCTGGTGGTTTGAGGAGTGTTATAGAAACCTTCCTCATAGTGTATATTTCGATTTATAGGATCCATATCTTCTGAAATGGAAACAAAATAACCGAAAAATGGAAATATGCAGAAAAGGGGGTTCTAGAGTCGATTTACCAACCTTTCTTGGGGTTTTGCGGAAAAGAAAACGCATGCCTTCCCCGGCAACGGCGCCAAAAACTTGATGTGTGCTGTCGTGTGTGTCGAGGGTGTCAAGTTTAAACCAAAATGAAATCAATAGCCGCAAGTGCTCAGCTGATCGATTGTAGTACTTAGGGATCGAATCCGAATCCACAGGGAAGGAGGATCTTTTCCTGCAAAAGCCTTCGAAAGAAATATAAAGTAAGGAAGTCTAGAACCAAACAGTTTTGTGGGGGTTTTGGTGGTGTGTTTAAAATGTAAAAACAAAATCTAAGAAGAAACTACGGGAATTAAATGGCCTAATAACTAAACTTAACGAAAATGAATTAAAACGAAAAAAATGGATATTCTAATTGCTTAAATGAAAATTAACTAAAAAGGAATGAGAATATTGAACTAAAACTTGAAATAAAACGGTGTGAATCTATAGGAAAGAAGGCGTTGGGCTTCAGGGAAGTTTTCTCAGGGGTACGAACGATTCAAAACATTGCTAGAGAGTAAAATTGATAAGATCTTAGCTTAAACTTTTCGAACTGGAGTCACGGACGTATGTATGCGCCACTGTCGTGATCATAAACAACTATCTCTCTCAACCCTGACCAGTAGGTTTCCACTCTGGCCCTGGAAAAGAAGAGATGCATTATGTTTAAGACTCGTCAGCATTCACAAATCGCCCATAGGTAGGTTTCCACTCCTATGTTTGTTTTGCTCTCCCAAACTAGTTCTGATACCGGATGAACACTTTTGTATCACCAAGCATCTGGATCAGATTGTAGTTCATGACGCTACTCTCATGCAGTAAAAATGAATTCAGAAGAAAAAGTTCTAAGATTCGGCTCAAAAGCTCATGGAATCCTCATCGTACATATAAATCCCCATCGAAAATCCCTTAATCCCAACAATAAAACTACTCAGACATGATGAACGAAATCAATTAATAAGTAGAATAGAAACCGAAATTGAAAAAGAAAGAACAAGGGTTCAAGAGACAAATCTCTCTCTCCCTAAAAGCTAAAGTAAAAACAATAAGAAAAATATGTGGTAATGATAGATGATGATCGATTAGGGTTCCTAAAACATGTATTTATAGTACTCAAGACATCTCTGGGCGTCACTTAGGGTTTCTCCAAATGAGGGAATCATTGTGGGCTTCAGAAATGGGCCTTCGGGCTCGGAGTTGGCTGGCCGCGGTCGGGATGGCTGTGACCGCGGGAAATGGATGGCTGGCCGCGGTCGCGGTGCTTCTGACCGTGGGAAATTGCTTGTTGGCCGCGGGTGGAAATGCTTGCCGGCTGGTTTACGGGACATCTTGCTCTTCGCGTATCTTTTGATTGAACCGTTGGATTATCAAGATGTAAAGTGTGCTGGAAAGCTGATACTTCCATATTTAAAATCTCCAAATTTGAGCTGGATCAGACGGTGAGAAGGCCTTCAATCAGGGGTGAACTTCTGACGGTGGCTCAAGATGTGACCTTCTCCTTATTTAGTTCAATTGTGAGATCCTTGATGTTTGAATCGAAAACAATCCGCATTTTCTTTCTTCCTCGCCAAGGAAACCTCATCAAGATTTTCCTTCAATCCGTCTAGCTTGAAGCCTGCATTTGTAAGATCAATCAACTCGTCCCGAGCGATGCTTAGCGCAGTTGCAGATAAGCTATGTGGAGGCTTGTTCAGCGTCTCAACGAGACAGATGAGCATATTCATATATGTTTTCCTCACCAATCGGTTCTTTGGTTTGAAGTTCACAGCACTGTCCAGGTATTCCGCAAAGATACAATTCACTAAATGCTCCTGTTAACACGAGAGAAAAATGTAAATATATTAACCAGAAAAAAGGAACAAAAAAGTGAGGAGGATAAAAACAACAAGAATATAGCATCCTTATAAATAATCATACCTGTGAATGAAGATCTTGGAAACCTTGGACATCTAAAATCTCAGACCCAGTTACAACTCCTTCATCAATAATTTAACATGTTGTATTTTGGCCTAAACTATCAGTTTGTTATGCTCGAGAAACCTTTTTTCTTGAAGCTTTTTACGAGACATGCCATTTTCCATACCGTGACATGAGTCCTGATCGTGGAACAAGTCAACAAGCTGCTTATTCCTGTTAGAAAAAGAAATATTTTTTTTTTTTAAATTACAGAAGATAACTCTTCATCGATCAAATTATCGCCAACATGGAAGATCAGTTAATTACTGTTGGACTAGTTGCTTTCTGTAGACATTTCTTTGTTCTTAGATGAGTTTTGTGTTTAAGGAAATATTTGTGAGTGAAAGCAGAAAGAACTTGAATCATAACTTTCTCTCATTTCATTTTCTTCCTCAAAAACATACATCCTTCTTTTACTCAAGCATCGATATATAACAAGGAACAGAGTCAACATACTCTGGCCTCAACAACTATTGCTTTTCATTAACCACTAATCTAGACTCTAGTACAAGACATCTCTCTCTCTCTCTTATTGCCGCTTGCTTTTCACCAACTCCCACTAACCAAGTTTCTTCTAGTTTGGTTTGAGAAACAAAATGACATTACACAACACTCCCACTTGTCATTTTGTGAATCAAACCAAGCTTATTGTGAAGCTTGTCGAAGCTTTGTCCTCCCAATGCCTTAGTGAAAACATCAGCCACTTGATCTTCCCCTTTGCGATACATCAGTTGAATCTCACCACTCTTCTCATAATCTCTAACAACATGATACTTTATTTGTATGTGTTTGGTTCTCCTATGTTGAACGGGATTTCTTCCAATGGCAATAGCCGACTGACTGTCACTATAGATTGGTACTCCAACTTGAGTAGTGATCCCTAAGTCCATGAGAAGTCTTTTTAACCAGGTTGCTTGATTTGCTGCTGCACACAAAGCCATGTATTCAGCCTCTGCTGTAGATTGAGCTACTGTGTCTCGCTTGCTGGTTTGCCATGTGAACACTGCTCAACCGATGCTATAACAATATCCAGTGGTTGATTTCAAGTCTTCTCTGCATCCTCCCCAATCACTATCTGAATATCCAATGAGTTTTGGTTCTTTCACCGCAGTAGACATCAATCCCATATCAGTTGTACCTCTGATGTATCTAAAAACTCTTTTAGCATCTTTAAGATGAGAAGATTTGGGTTCTTTTAGATACCTGGACAAATATGAAGCAGAGAACATTAAGTCTGGTCTGGTAGCTGTCAGATACAATAGTCCTCCAACCAGACTTCTGTAGACACCACTATCCACAAACTCGTCTTCTCCTTTCTCTGCATTTTTCTTTTGAGGCAACAAGGGAGTGGACATGATTTTGCAATCCTCCATATTAAACTTCTTCAGTAGCTTCTTCGCATAGCACTCTTGAGACAGAAATATTCCCTCTTGATTCTGTATAATCTCCATACCAAGAAAATAGCTCAACAACCCTAAGTCAGACATCTCAAACTCTTCTTTCATTGCGACTTTGAATTCTTCCACCAAGTTTTCATCATCTTCGGTGACGATAAGGTCATCAACATAGATGCACACGACTAGAAGCTTTCCTTGAGTTTCTTTTGTATACAATGCATGATCATTGTCACTCCTTTTGAAGTTCTCCTTTTGAAAGAATTCATCGATTCTGCTATAGCAAGCCCTTGGAGCCTGTTTTAATCCATAAAGCGCCTTGTGTAGTAACAGAACATGATCTTCCTTTCCTCTTTGTTCAAAACCGGGAGGTTGCCCAGCGTAGATTACTTCCTCTAGTCTTCCATTTAGGAAGGCAGACTTGACATCAAGTTGAAACAGTTTCCATCTTCTTTGAGCTGCAACGACAAGTAGTAATCTTATGGTTTCATGCCTTGAGACAGGAGAAAACGTTTCCAAGTAATCGACCCCATATTGTTGAGTGAATCCTATTGCGACAAGTCTAGCCTTGTGTCTGACTACCTTTCCATTTTCATCAGTTTTCAGCCTGTATATCCATTTTACACCAACCACATTTTTGTCAGTAGGTCTTTGAACAAGTTCCCAAGTCTCGTTCTTCTCAATCATGTGTATTTCTTCCTTCATGGCCTCATTCCATTCTGTGTGTTTGGAAGCTTCGTCGAATAATGACGGTTCTTCTATACCACTATAGCAACCTTCCATTACAGCAGAATACTCTATATCCGCATATGGAGCTGTGAGCATAACGTCAGCCAGAGATCTAGTTCTTTTGTTTACTCTACTTAAGCATTCATCAGGACTTATATGCTCAGCGTTTTAGGGTGATCCTCCTTCATCTGCATTTTCATTTATTATCTCTGTATCGCTTGCCTTTGAATCTCCTTCTTCAGTGTTTGTTTCAATGGTTACTTTGTAGTCTTTAACTACTTCCTTCTTGTTCCAATCCCACTTACTATCTTCATTAAAGATAACATCTCTAGAGATTTCTACTCTGTTTTCTTCTAGCATGTAGACTCTATATCCTTTTGTCTGAGAACTGTATCCCACAAACACAGCTCTCTTTGATTTGTCATCCCACTTCTTCCTCTTCTCATCTGGAATATGAACATAGCACATACAACCAAATACTCTCATGTGACTCAGAGACGTTTTTGTACCATTCCAGGCTTCAAGTGGTGTCTTGTTCTTGAGTGCTCGAGTTGAAGTCCTGTTTTGAACATACACTGCATTGTAGACAGCTTCTGCCCAAAACGTTAATGGTAGATCTTTAGCTTTGATCACGGCTCGAGCCATTTCCACCAAACTTCTATTCCTTCTTTCCGAGACTCCATTTTGCTATGGAGAGTAAGCCGCAGTAAGCTGTCTCTCAATACCATTTTCTTCTAAATTTTTTGTAAATTCACCAGATCGATACTCTGTACCTCGATCTGTTCTTAGATTCTTGATTCTGCAGTTAGATTGATTTTCAACTAGACTCTTGAATCTTTTGAATGTTTTGAAGACATCAGACTTAGCCTTTAAAAAATAGACTCATATCATTCTGGTGGCGTCATCTATGAATGTGAAGAAGTACCTGCTGCCACTGAAAGAGGTGTTCTGCATTGGACCGCAAAGATCGCTGTGTATCAGTTCCAATCTCTCAGTTGCTCTTGACTTTGACTCTTTTGGAAATGAGTCTCGTGTCTGTTTACCGATGATGCAGCTTTCACAGCTTCCTTGAGTGACTTTGAACTTAGGTAGACCTGTAACCATTTCTTTTGACTGAAGATTGTTCAGGTTTGTGTAGCCAATATGTCCAAGACGCTTGTGCCATAGCTCTGCCGTATCCTCCTTTGCTACCATGGCTGTTTCTTCATTTGAGCTCCATTCGATATGAAAGCTTTTGTTGACCATAGGGATTACTCATATTCTCAGTTTCTATCTTCAAAGATGACCTTGTACCCATTAGTAATCATTTGTGGAACACTCAAGAGATTCTTCCCAAGTTTGGGAACTAGAAACACATCTCTTATGATTCTTTTCCCTTTCTTGGTCATGACCTCAATGTCTCATTTGCCTTCAGATACTAGAACAGCTCCATTTCCGACTTTGATTAGAACTCTTATGTTTGTGTTGAGATGGACAAATACTTTCTTGTTTGGAGTCATGTGATTTGTGCACCCGCTGTCTATGAGCCAAACATCTTCTTTTCCTGCTTCGTCACCTTCTTTTCTTGCTGTAAATACATGGTTTTCTTCCTCTTTCTTGTTCTTGTTAATCTCTTGTACTGTTGCCTTGATTTCTTTGTCCTTGGCCTTCTCCATCGATGAACCTTTCTGATTCACCATCTTCATTCTGTTTTCAACTTTCTCATTCTTGTTCTTGTTGCTTTCTTGTTTGTTTGCCTTGGCTTTCTCAGCCTTGGCTTTCTTGTTCGGCGAATCTTCTTGACTCACCATCTTCATTTTCTTCAAGAGGTCTCCATGAATCATCATGAGCTCTGATATCATGTTGGACTAGTTGCTTTCTGTAGACATTTCTTTGTTCTTAGATGAGTTTTGTGTTTAAAGAAATATTTGTGAGTGGAAGCAGAAAGAACTTGAATCATAAGTTTCTCTCATTTCATTTTCTTTCTCAAAAACATACATCTTTCTTTTACTCAAGCATCGATATATAACAAGGAACAGAGTCAACATACTCTGACCTCAACAACTATTGATTTTCATTAGCCACTAATCTAGACTCTAATACAAGACATTGTAAGAATTATTTGGGGTCACACATGTATAATCAATGTGTTAGGGTCATTATTTAAAGTAGTCAAAACTTATGTGGTCACTTTGATATTAAAGAAAAGACTAATGGGGCATAAGTGTTATGAAAAATTAATGTGAGGATACACTCAGTAATTTCTAATTTGATGACGGGCCGAATTAGAAATTATCTCTATATAAATAGAGAGGTTATGGTCCCCGCAGCAACCCTAACGAGAAATATAGAAAACTCTCTGCATCCCATCAACAGAGATCTACAGCCATTCAGGGTTTGTTGTGGAAGAACCATAGCCAAATTCAGAGCATAAATCATGGATCCAAAAGGTACGCTTCCGCTTCTGTTCTTATTAATCAGAGACTGACATGCTATAGTGGTTTATAAGGATTTAGAAACCCCTACAATTGGTATCAGAGCCATCATGTTCAGTTTCTGTTTGATAATCAGGTTATTTTAAGAAATAAATTCGGATTTATTTTTTGCGAAAAATTTTAAATTGTTGAATCTGATTTTTCTCAAAAGTTTATGCCTAGATTAGAATTCTGGGATCTGTGTTTATGTAATTGTTTTTCAGATCTAGATTATTGCTCATATGGTTTATTTTTTCTGAAAATTTTAATATATTTTTGGAATTTTGGGAGCAATTATAAGATTTAGTCTTTGAAATTTTTTAAAAGTTTCATACTCATAAAGTTTTTTTCGAAACTCTGGAAATTTTTTCGAAATTTTTTAGCAAATTTTCAGATCTGGTTTCAGTCTTGACGGCTGTAAATCCTAAGGTTGAAGACATGGGTATTTTTGTAATTCTTTAAAAGTTTGTTAATGAAATTCTGCACTTCATATGGTTAAATCGGACTGGGTCTGGGCCCAATTTTGATTGAAGTTGCATTTAAGCCCAAGTTTCATTAAAGCCCGAATTTGGTTATATTCCACTAAGGCCCAATTCGTTTTAATTAAAATGAAAACACATCACCAGGGATTCGAACCCAGGTTGCGCTAATATGGAGAATCCCTTCCTTTTTTGTCTTCAACTGTTTTGCCGCTGTAATATTTTGCATATAGAACCCCCAGATTTTATGTTATATGTCCGCGCGAGTATATAATTAAGTTTTTTAATCAATAAATATTTTTTGATTGTGCAAGTTTAATATTTGAAGTGGATTAATTGATGCAATATGTTGCCAAAGTAACCTCTATTGTGGATATTTTTCCATGGATAATATTAAATGTTATGTGTGTATATATATTCATGCGAATTTTAAATCGACCCAAAGGTAGGTTTTGTATTCGGCCGAATAACATACATACCTGTGATAATAAACACGTGATAATTATTAGGAATAAACATGTGAATGATAAATCGATTCAAAGATAGGTTTATTGTTTATCATGCATTATTGTCAGTGTTTGAGTGTTACAACAAGAGTATCACTAGCAGTTAATATTACTGTCCAAAGACTTGATATTAATGTTGCACTTGATATCTTGAGATGGGTTGTACAATTGTTTATTTTTATTTATTGATTTAATTCGGTTTAGCAGTAAATTACTAATAAAGATTGTTCAATTTTGCAGCGAATTTTACTGCAGTATCTGCAAACTTAAGTTCAATTCCAACACTTACTGGTTCCAACTATAAGGAATGGAAAAGTAAAGTTAAGATTGTTTTAGGGTGTATGGATCTTGACCTTGCGTTAAGGATGGAACAACCTGTT